TAATAATAATAATAATAATCTTTATTTATACCTCGCCACTATCTCCCCAAGGGGACTCGGGGTGACTTACATGAGGCCACGCCCACCAGTAGAATAACACAGTATAACACAAGAACACAACAGAAAATAAGAAAATAAAACAACATAAAATACAAAACCAATATAAATAAACAGCACAATAATATAAAATCAAAACATTAAAACACTAAAAATGAACATAGTGGGCAGGGCCAATTTCAAAGGTTAAAATTTTAAAACCACTGGGTGATAGGGCAATGTAATATATCAGGACAGGGGATCCAAGGGATAAGGTAAGATTTAATTGCACAAACTAGAAAATAAAGTGCTTCTTAGGGCATTTATGCAGAGTTTGGTCAGGAGTTATCATACATTCAATCATTGAAGGCACACTGGAACAGCCAAGTTTTCAGGCTTCTCCTAAAGATTGCCAGGGTGGGGACTTGCCTAATATCTTTGGGGAGCGAATTCCAGAGCCGAGTGGCCACTACAAAGAAGGCCCTCTCCCGCATCCCCACAAGTCGCGCTTGCGATGGAGGTGGGAGCGAGAGAAGGGTCTCTACGGAAGATTGAAGGGTTTGTGTGGGTTCCTAGAAGGAAATGCGGTCATGCAGGTAGGCAGGTCCCAAACCATTCAGGGCTTTGTAGGTAAGAACCTGCACCTTGAATTGGGACCGGGCAATAAATGGCAGCCAGTGGAGCTCCTTAAACAGGAGAGTTGACAGGTCCCTGTAATTCGCACCAGTTAATAGTCTGGCTGACGATCGTTGGACCAGTTGGAATTTCCGGGCCGTCTTCAAGGGCAGCCCGTAGAGTGCATTGCAATAGTCCAATCTAGAAGTAACTGAGGCGTGGACCACTGTGGCCAAATCCAACTTCATGAGGTACGGTTGCAGCTGGCTCACAAGCTTCAATTGTGCGAAGGCCCTCCCAGCCACCACCGACACCTGGCTTTAGGCATTCCCATCAGGCGTCAAAATAGTTTTTGTAAACATTTTCAACATTAGCTTTTGCTCTCTGGAATTGAGGGTCATATTTACACTATATTTAGTCCAGGAAAGGTCTTTTTTTGCAACAGGACATGAACACTAATTCCTGTTGTTAAAAAAGAGTTCCCTGGCAGAGGATGGCCCCTAAAACATGGTGGAGATTCCCCCATATAATGATTTCAGGTAAAATTGGTTCCCCCTCCCCTTTTTTTTTGTTTTTTTTTTTTGGCAGGAGTAGATGTGATTGATTGGGGCAGCTGTCTGAAGTTTCCTGGGGTGCTGATGGCTTATGTAGCCTGCGGATTTTCGCCATTGCCCACTCCTGTTCTAATGCAAAAATGATATTGCGAGAATTGTGGAGGGGGCCGATCCCAATTTCAATTATTCTACTTTCCCGTAGTCTGCCTATTAGCAATAAAGAAATTGCAGTCTTGCCGGGGATCCATTTAGATGGGACAGGCTTTCACTGCAGTCACGATGTGTGTAACAGTGTCTTGATTTAAGCAAGCATGCAGGGTAAATGGAAGCCGCCGCCCCCCCCCCCCCCCCCCCCCCCCCCCCCATGTAGGAGCCATCATTTTCTGAAGGAATGACATAGATAAACAGCTAGTTCAGAATGGACAGGTGCTGATGTTTTTGGAACCCCTATCCATCCCTTCCTAATGGTGAGGATGAGGCCATCTAGAGTAGAGCTTTCCAAACATTTCATATTGATAGCAAAGGTTTATTGTTACGTTCACATGACACACTAATAGATTGCAGCTGATATACTAATGCAATGCAGCAGTTCTCAAAGTGTGCTTGGTTGTGCCCTTGGGGCTCTGCAAAGCATACTGAGAGGTTCCATGGTTTTCCCCTCCCCTCCAACCTTTTCCTCCTATTTGCTGCTCCTCCCCCTTGCCTCCCTTGCCACGAAAAGTCATTTTCTTTTAGCCCCCTCACCGCCAAAAGCTTTTCACACTACATATTCCTAGTATTGCAATCCCATTTACCTGCCATAGCTGTTTGCTATGGAATCTTAGGATTGGTGATCTGATGAGCATTTCATATTCAGAATTCTGAAATCTGAAATACTCCAAAATCATCTACATGAGTACAGTAGATGAGATAATGACATTGTTGTTCTAATGAGTCAATGTACACCAACTTTGTTTCATGCACGAAATTATTTATAATATATAACATTTTCTCCAGGCTATATGTATGAAGTGTATATAGAACATAAGTCCATTTTATATTTAGATTGGTACCATTTCCAAGATATCTCATTATGTACGTATGTGCAAATAAAGATATTCCAGAATTCAAAAAAATCAAAAATATGTATGGTTACAAGCATTTTAGATAAGGAATACCCAACTAATATTTAAAAATAGTATTAGAAATAATAATGTTAGCAAGTACTGTTGTTTTTTTTTCATAAGATTACTCTGTACTTGATTATTTGCATCCAAATTTCTCTTTTGTCACAGCTGATAAGATTATCGGTGGCCCATTCTCACATTGAAGTCATTTGTCTCACATTCTAGTCATTGTGATAAATATACATGAACCACCTGTAGATAATCTTTTAAAAATCCAGCCTAGATATTTTTTACAGGCTCGCATTCTTATGAAATGAACACACAGCAGGAACTCTGCTTCTGTTGTGTTTCCAATTGACAATTAGGTTATCAAAGAATGTGCCTCACTGGTTGTTCATTTGTTAGAGGGTATTTTTCTACCCAAGTTGACACTTGTGTTTCCAGATGATTCAGGCCCCTTCCACACAGCTGAATAAAATCCACATTGAACTGTATTATATGGAAGTGTGGGCTCAGATAATCCAGTTCAAAGCAGATACGGTGGATTATCTGCCTTGAAATTCTGGGTTATATGGCATGTTGAAGGGCCCTCAGTATTATCAAGTACTGTTAATTCAACATTTTGGCCCTGCTTTAGATAAAGAATCAGAAGCATGACATTAGATATAGCTTATTGAGTGCCTATGGTTCTTTATCAGATGCATAGTAGGTTGTTATTCAAAATCCACTGCTTAATCAGGACATTCAAGCACAATAACTGATTGCTTTTCCATATGGAAACATACAAGGAAGAGGAAATTTGGAGTTCCTGTTTGGGCACGTTGTGTGAATAGACCTAATTGCTAATCCATGATTTATGTACTATACCCTCATTGACCTTTGGTAACATTAAGGAAGCAGTTCTTGCACCAAAAAAGCATTGGTTTTTTTTAAATTCTTTGGATCTTTTAAAACAGTAGTTTCTGTCACTTTCATTTAATGTCTTGGCCATCTGTATTACTGAGTCTGAAACTGTTAGTAAATAATCTTGAGGTTGCCAATTAACAGATAATCTGTGTTGTACCAATTACCTAAAAGGATCAAGTGAAGTTAAGACTTTGCTTAACATTGGTAGGGTAAAGTTCATAGTCATCTCAAACTATATTGAAGGTCAAACTTATTTCTTTTATGATTTTACAGTTACTAATGCAAAGAAAGTTCAAATTTCTCAGAATTACTTGGTTCATACCATCTTCCTTAAACTTCTTTGCACAAATAAAAGCAATTCGTGAGATTATTGTCTAGCCTTTCCTGCATAGTTTTTAAAATGAATGTAGTCAAGTGTATTTTTGTCATTTTAGGATGACTCTTAGAAGGATGCTACATCTTATTTTAGCTCATACCTGTGGAGAGTATAGAACAATGTTTCTCAACCTGGAGGTTGGGACTCTGGGGGGGGGGGGGGTTGCAAGGTGGTTTCAAAGAGGTCGCCAAAACCACCAGAAAACATATATTTCTGATGGTCTTAGGAAACTCTTTGGCAGAGAAGGCTCTCTGCCTGTCCTTCTCTTCCTTTTTGGAAACAGGTGGTGAATCATCCCACCAAAAGCCCTCCTCTGCTGTGATTAGCCAGTCTCTCAGCCAAGGAGAGAGTGGTTTTTGAGACTTCAAGTGAGGAGAGCAGAGCAGGCGTGCTTGGTGCATGGCAGCATGGTGCACATGTGCAGGTAAGGGAGAGTGTGTGAGGCTGGAGGGCGTCAGCAAATCACTTCAAGTCATAGAGGTTCTGTGTGGAAAGTTTGGCCCAATTCTATCATTGGTGGGATTCAGAATGCTCTGACTGTAGGTGAACTATAAATCCCAGTAACTACAACTCCCAAATGTCAAGATCTATTGGCCCCAAACTCCACCAGTGTTCACATTTGGACATATTGAGTACTCGTGCCAAGTTTGGTCCAGCTCCATCATTATTTGAGTCCACAGTGCTCTCTGGATGTAGGTGAACTACAAGTCCAAAACTCAAGGTCAGTGCCCACCAAAGCCTTCCAGTATTTTCTGTTGGTCATGGGAAGTCTGTGTGCCAAGTTTGGTTCAATTCTGTCATTGGTGGAGTTCAGAATGCTCTTTGATTGTAGATGAACTATAAATCCCAGTAACTACAACTCCCAAACAACAAAATCAATTCCCTCAACCCCGCCAGTATTCAAATTTGGACGTATTGGGTATTTGTGCCAAATTTGGTTCAGTGAATGAAAATACATTCTGCAAATCAGATATTTACATTACGATTCATAACAGTAGCAAAATTACAGTTATGAAGTACCAACTAATTTTATGATTGGGGGTCACCACAACATGAGGAACTGTATTAAGTGGTTATGGCATTAGGAAGGTTGGGAAACACTGGTTTAGAACAAAAAGAGGAAGAAACTTGGAATGTACTGGTTTTTCTTTACAAAAAAATAATTGAAATGCTTCAAGAGGATCATCTGTGATTTTATATTTTAAATACGTGCATTCTCATTGCTGTTATTTCTTTCGGGCAAAGTTTCTGTGAAGCTGGATATTGAACATATTGCTCAAGAGTCCAGTGCAAATGTGAGACCAGGGGATTTTTACTAGCTAAATGTGGAACTTCCAATTTCATTTCAAAGGATTGTCTCATTAGAAAGCTTGAGAGAAGCAGCTGTCAGCTGATCGGTGTTGTTCCTTTCTGGCTAAAAAAGAGATGGCTTTACTTGATAGGTTACCCTGTTGTTATAGTAGGGTTCCTTAAGGGAGGCTTTTGACAAGCCACTTCAGGAGGATTTCCAAGATAATTTGGTTTTTAAAAAACCAATGTGTTTCTCAGCTGTTTGATTTTGCTCTGTGTCATCTTCACATTCTGCGCAACCAAGCGTAGCCTATTGCAGATGAAGTCAATATATATAAAATGGAAACTGGGAAAGTAGCAATAAATAGCTAACCCTTTGGCGGACCTCTGGTCCTGTTGAAAGACACACTGGCTCTGCCTGTAACTTGAAGAAAGGTATTGTGTCCCATTCAGCTTGGCTCTTATTGTGAAAGGTGCAGTTTTGAGCTTTCCTTGTGGTTTCAAGAAAGGCTCAGAGGGGACAAGGGCATCAACCAAGGAGGAATTTTTCACGGAATTGATTTATGGCAACATGACTTTAAGTCTGATCTCCTTGCTATACAAGGATATTGCAGAGCTGTGGTACCTTCTGAAGAAAAGCACAGGTGTGTCTTCCTTTCATGTTTCCTTCCTTTTTATTGTTTTGACCTCCCAGTGATTTTATTGCACTGGCAAGACTAGTGTGTGTGGTCTAGCCGTTTTTGAGGTTTGCATTATTCTGATTCAAGTGTTATGTCTTTCTGTGTGGAGTGGAGAATGCACATATGAACCTATTTTTACAGAGTTTTATTTTCATGTGTCAAACCAAAGAGTGTATGAGAACTACAAACCCCAGAATTCTGCAGGAGGCAGAAACTGGATTTTAAGTGGATTTTTTTCTCTAGTCTGATGAGGCACTTACTAGTCTGGTGCCACGTAATATTGGTTTGACTTTATTATGTAGATCATTTAACAGATATTTGCTGAAGGATCATGACAAACATAATTACCATTTCCTTTTTGCACGGATTGCTTGCTTCTTTGGAGACTGGTCTCTCTTGTGACATACCGTTGATTGTAATTCTCATTTAATTATCTTTGTGAGTAAACTTGGTACAAGAATAGGGAAGAGATAAATCCTGCCATTTTTATTGCACCTTGTTGCAAAACTTGTTAGCACAAAATAGTCACGAAGATGCACATTTTAAACAGAAAACATCCCTTGAGTACAGGGTTTCCCTAGGAATCGTGTCTCCTCTAACAGGGTATGAATGAAGCTTTGGAAGCACTCGAAAGCATGAAGTTACAGCCCACTGTGAAACTGAAAGCGTGTTTTTTGTAGAAATTGGGGAGGGGAAAAGAGAGGAAGAGAGAGGAACCAAATACTGCTGATTCAGTTCACGTTGCCTGTCTTGTGTTCTGTTTGGTATGCAAGAGGTTTACAGAGGAGAACAAGATGAAGAGCGATGACATGCCAGGTTGGTGATTTGCTTGATTACACTCCCAATCTCTGAGATACTTTTATTGAGAAAGATCATATTGAATAGTAAATAAAATTATCTGTAGCCTCACACATTCAGAACTGGGAGCTTTCTCTTCAAAATAAGTTCTTCAGAAGGCTGTGGGTGTGCCTTGAATTCCAGATAGTGTTTGCTCTACTTTTGGTAGCAAAAGGGGCTGCATAAGAAAATAGAATATTAATTGGTAGAATATTTCACCTTTGGTCTTTTCTGAAATTTCTGCGCAAATGCGCATATATATATTTCTTAGATGGAACATATTTTAAAAATGCAAATGCTATATAGGCAGAATGCACTTGATGCTACCTGCCAGCTGGTTTAGAAGATTTTTTTCAGTGAACTGAGGATAATCTGAGAATCCTTGCATTTTCCGAGTAATCTTACTGTTCTGTAAAACCAGATTAAGTCAGGGTGTCACTGACCTGAAAAAAACAGCTTGGCTTTTTCTGTGGATCAGCAGGTCAAACTTGTAGGCTGCTGAAGTTGTTAAGGGCACTGGAACAAGAGCATGTAGTGTGTGTAAAATCTGGCAGCCACAAAGTAAATGCGGAGGGAACAGACATATGTTGGTCTTGGCTGCCTTTGAAAGTGAATGGCTTAAACTCAATCACTGTCCATGTGTCATAATCTGTGTGTATACTCTTCTGTCTTTCTATATTATTAATTTATTAGGTGCACTTAGGTTTCCTCCAATAATTGTAAAAGAAACACATGTAGGTCTCCCCTTTCCTCACTTTGTCTTCATATCAACCATATGGGGTAGGCCAGGCAGAGAGAGTGTGACTGATCCAAGACACCTTATGACCAAGTGAGCTCCGTACCTCCATGAAGAATAGAACCCAGTTTTCAAATCTTGGTCCAACTATTATACCGCATTGGTTCTCTAAAGGGATAAAGATTCATAATGATAACTAATTGATCTAAAGCAGTGTTTCTCAACCTGGGGGTTGAGACCCCTGGTGGAGTCACAAGTTGGGTGTCAGAGGGGTTGTCAGGCACCATCAGAAAACACAGTATGTCCCTTTGGTCAAAAATGTGCCAAATTTGGACCCGTGAATGAAAATACATCCTGCATACAGTATCAGATATTTACATTACGATTCATAACAGTAGCAAAGTTACAGTTATGAAGTAGCAACAAAAATAATGTTATGGTTGGGGGTCACCACAGCATAAGGAACTGTATTAAGGAGTCGCAGCATTAGGAAGGTTTAGAACCACTGATCTAAAGGAAGTGATTTCATAGAAGGGGGATTCTCTGAGATACATTGTCCATCTGTTCATTGGCTTGGGATAGACATAAGAGGAAATATTTGGTCCCTTCACTTCTAGTGCAATAAATATTCTTTGTTAAGAGTAGGAGATGGAAATGATGGAAATTATTTATCAGTTTTAGTTTTTTCATGATTAAAATGGTTTCTCAGCCTGTAGATGGTGCCCGTTGACACCCCACTTTTTCACTGCAGGAGGAACAAAATTATTAAGAGAAAGTGGGAAATCCACATTTGCGTATCTGTTGGTGGTCATGGGTTTTGAATTCACAACCAGCAGTTTCACTTTTCTTCTTGTGATTTTGCTATCATACTGCCAAATTGTTGACAAATCCTGACCCATAGATTTCACAATACGGGCTATAAAAAGTTGTATACAAACTGATGCTTATAAAACATCAAAGACAAACTACACTACCAGTTATATGAGCTTGTTTGGATTGGATTACTGCAATGCATTCTAGATTGGATTACTGCAATGCGCTCTACATGGGGCTACCCTTGAAGATGGCCTGGAAACTACATCTTGTTCAACATTCGGTGGCCAGATTAATAACAGGGGTGATTTACAGGGAGTGATCAACCCCCCTGTTTAAGGAGCTCCATTGGCTGCCATTTATTTTCCATTCCCAATTCAAGGTACAGTTCATCACCTATAAAGCCCTTAACAGTTTGGGACCTGCCTACCTTCGTGACTGTATCTCCCACCATGAACCTGCTCGATCCCTTCAATCCTCCTTTCACCCCTACCGTTATCTCAGGCCCGCCTTGTGGGTACAAGGGAGAGAGCCTTTTCCTCAGTGGCTCCCTGACTATGGAATACATTGCACGGTGAGATTAGGCGAGCCCCTACTTTAGAAAGTTTTAAGAAGAATCTCAAAACCTGACTCTTCTGCTGCACTTTTGAAGATTAACCATATAAACACATATTGCCATTAACCCTCAATATTTGTCTTTAGTGCACACCTCCTCCCCCTCTATACGAAGGTCCCTTTTTTGACCCCATTTCAGAAGAGTTTCTCGCTCACAAATAATCCACTCCACTGCTATCTCACCCCGTTTTTACCTTTAGTATTTTATTCTGTATGTGCGGCCCGCTCACTGTCCTGTGTTATGAATTATTTTATTGTAATTTTATATTGTTTGTTTGTTGTACTCTTATAGTTTATGTTTTATGTAATTAATTATGTTGTTGTGTATGTTTTGATTTCATTTATTGTATTGCGTTGTTGAGCTTGGCTTCATGTAAGTTTATTATTATTATTATTATTATTATTATTATTATTATTATTATTATTTGTTGAATGCATACATCTCTTTAGGAAAGAGCGTCCCTGGATTTAGATGTTAGACAAGACCTTCAAATGGCTTGAAGATTAGGGATCCTTAAGAGAAGGGCCATCTTTGGATGCAAAGGATTTCAGTTCTATTCCTCATAGTTCCTGTAGAGCTGAGAAACAGTTTCTGTAAAATGAACCACAGATATAAGTTCCGTTGTTACAGAAAGTCATACTATATATTTTTAAAAAATCAGTGAAGTTTCTCTGCAAGGGCCTTTCAAGTTACCCATCTCTTGGCCAATGTGGAAATAGGTCCATGTTATTTCCCAGAGTTATTTGACCTGTTCCAGCCCAAGATGAACAAGATATCCCAAAATTAGAAAGCTGCTTCCCTTGGTTGGCAGTAGCCTGGTTATTATTTTGAGAGAGAGTTCCTCAACATGTCAGAAACATACAAGCATGCAAACATTGTCTAGATCAAAATCTCTGTGTTCATAAATCCTAATCCTATGAATATTTACTCAGAAGTAAGTTTAGTCTGTGTTCACTGGTGCTTATGCTGAAGAAATAGTGCATAGCGTTGCATCCAGAGTTTATTAGTGGTGACTGTGCTTCGAAAAACGGGTCAAGGTCAGCTGCATTGAAGAGCTAAGATAATGTATGTGATTAAAATATTATGGTAGCTAAATGAGTTTAATGAGTCTCATTTTAAAAAGGAATGTGGGGTTGTTATTATTTCTTAAGTGACAAAGTGGTTAGGCAATCTCCTCGTACTACGTTCACCTAACAACTGTAAGTTCCATCTAGTTTTATTTTACCTTTTCTTCATTGTTTGTTTAGTAACTTGGTAAGAGTTGAACAATGCAAAAACTGATTCACGGTGTCTAATATATTGCTGGAATCCTCTCAGATTGCTAACCTGGGAGTGTGAATTGGATCTTTAAGGTTAAAAACTAAGAAAAATGTTGGCAGAAATATCACTAGATAGCCCTTTGATTTCATATAACAGATAAAGAAAAGTTTGAGGTGGGAACATTTGGTGAATTTGCATTTTCATTTCACTTTTTGACTGTGTTTCAGTAGGAGGTAGAAGTTGGTTGCCCTTGTTGCAGCTTCCCACCACTATCCTACTCCAACTCCAGTTAGAAAAGATATGCAGAGTTGTGAGATGAATTCAGATCAAGACTTGATGCTGGCTATTGATCACACACATAATCATTAGTTGTGCTATAGAGAAGAAAGAAGTGGAGAGATTATGGAGTCCCTGGTGGCATAACAGGTTAAACCACTGAGCTGCTGAACTTGCTGACCAAAAGGTCAGCAGTTCGAATTCAGGGAGTGGGGTGAGCTCCCACTGTTCGCCCCAACTTCTGCCAACTTAGCAGTTTGAAAACATGCAAATGTAAGTAGATCAATACGTACTACTCTGGTGGGAAGGGTAACAGCGCTCCACACAGTCATGCCAGCCACATGACCTTGGTGGCATCTCCGGACAACGCCAGCTCTTCAACTTAGAAATGGAGATGAGCACCACAGCTAGACCTTAATGTCAAGGGGAAAACTTTACCCTAACTTCTTTAAAAATTTAAGACACCTGGGCTCCATATTTGTGGTGCTGTTACTCTACTTTAACTGGCATGGCTGCATGCTAGGGTTTGCAATTTGGTGAAGCACTAGAACACTTTGAGAACTTTAAATGGCCCTTCTTGAACTACAAATCCCAAAATTCCATAGCATCTGTAGCGTGTAATTTGACCCCAGACAGTTTTTGCCCAGTCTGACAACAATTTCAAGTTGAAAACTACAATGATGCTAGTATTTAGTTGTGTCTGCTTGTTTCTGACTGAACACTAGCATCAGATAAATAGAAAACCAATTCTTACTTTCCTGATGGTAGCTAACCATCAGATAGTTCCAGCTAGAAGTGATCCACTGAATTCATAAGAATTTGATATGTTTTCCCTTATTGTGTGCATTAATTTACACGTTTATGCACTTCAAGATTTTAAAGATATGCTTAACAACAAAAGTCGCAGCCATAGTTTTAACTTACTATATTTTGAAGTGGTTACTAAAAATACTGGCAGATTTTCAGTTAGTATAGCAATGTGCTTTAACCTCTGAGTCATTAATACACTGAGGTTACAAATTAACTAAGATACAACAACAGAATACAAAGTGAGAGAAATGATGGGTGAAAAATACACTTTTCTTTGGATTTTCTTGTGAAGCTAATGTTTAGGAGATACATTTTCTAATTTTGGTTCTGTTTCCAAAGTTATCTTCTAATTACATTTGTTAAGAACACTTTGGTAGACTTCAGGTTAAGAAGTTCTAGGAGGCAACTGCTTCGCTAGTTAGTTAATATTCACTCATTTGATATATTAATGGTTCCTACAGCTTAACCGTTTTGTAATTTCAAACTCCTTACTTTCAGAGCTCATTACACTGTGGGTAGGGAGGAAGGCTAAGACCCCAAAGGGATGCAAAATTAAAGATTTGCTTCAGGGTTTCAATTCCCCACTTGTCAATGATGAATGGCATGCTTTTAAGTCATAATATAAGGAACTTCTTTTTTTAAAAAAAATGGATATGTCTTGTAGACTACTACAATACAGTCACTTGTGTTTTGTGAGGAGCTATTCATTTTTCAGACTTAATACTCAATTATGAAATGTATGTGCTTAAAATAGAACATCCGTAATTCATGCATTTTTCTGAAGGTACATAATTATATCTTCAAGGGGCCTAAAGTTAAGCTTGCTAGAATATGAAAATGCCCCCATTCTGGAAAAATAAAAATAAAAAGTGACATAAATCTTCCCAGAGCTTCAAAATAGCAATGTTGTGGGTAATCGTGATTTCTTATTTAAATATGCTCAAATTAATAGTGATGTGGACACAGATTATTTCATGTACTTGAGCAGTGGTCCTCAAACTTTTAAAGCAGAGGGCTGGTTCATGGTCCCTCAGACCATTGAGGGGCTGGACTTGAAACAAAAATGAACAAATTCCTGTGCACACTGCATTTAATTGTAGTGCAAAAAGCATGAAAGAACAATACGATATTGAAAGTGAAGAGCAGTTTTAACAAAAAATAAACTTGCCATTATTTCAATGGGAAGTGTGGGCCTGTTTTTGACTGATGAGATAGTTAAGTTAATGAGGACTGTTGTTGTTGTGTGCCTTCATGTCTTTTTAGACTTAGACTTTAGACCTAAGTCTAAAGTTTAGTGTGTGGACTAGATAAATGACCTTGGAGGGCCACGTCTGGTCCGTGGTTCTAAATTTGGGGACTTGGCTTGCAAAATGTAGTATTTCCATCTAAGAAATTGACAGTATACTCAATTACACTATCATTTGTAATGGGCATACATATCTATTTTGTAGCCTTTACATGCAGACACAGCCCTGATAGAGAGCAAAACTGTAAGTGAATATATGTGTAGACACATGTTTTATACAATAAGGAAAAAAATCTGCATTATTACAATGATATTGTAGGAAAATTTGTGAGAGGTGGTGCTGTCCATGGTATATCCAAATGAAAAATTTACGAGAAAGGGGTGCTCAGCTCATTCTAGTACAATGTGTCATTAGGGTATTTGTGTGTGCCTTCATTGCATTGGGTGAAGGAAAGGAAATACATCCATTTTCCTGACCCATTTATTTCTTATGTTTATCTGGCATAGTACATGGAAGACGCTGGATGGCCATCTGTCAAGGGTGCTTTGAATGCAATTTTCCTGCTTCTTGGCAGGGGTTGGACTGGATGGCCCACGAGGTCTCTTCCAACTCAAGGATTCTATAATTCTGTGATTCTTCTAGTGTACCTTGAAATGTTACACATGAACAAAATTTTGTTCACCCTCTATATCTTGTAATAGTTCCCTCAGAAATATAGTCAAATAGTCATACATATTATATTTTATATAGAAGTAGGCAAAGTACAACCCTGGGTCCACATGTGCCTCTCAACTCTGTTTTTGCAGTGCTTTCCTCCTGTACCAATCTTCTTGTGGCCCAAGAATTGGGTGTGAATTGCCCTTCTGATAGTTTACCTATTAAATAAGATGCAGTATCTTCTATATTTAATAGCATCAAAAATTTGCTATTTTTCAAAACCAGGAGGGACTACCTCTGCATTTTGTGAAAGGGGGCATTTTGGCGGTAGCTTCAGCCCCTGAAGCAGTGGCTCTCAACCTGTGGGTCTCCAGGTGTTTTGGCCTACAACACCCAGAAATCCCAGCCAGTTTACCAGCTGTTAGGATTTCTGGAAGTTGAAGGCAAAAACATCTGGGGACCCACATGTTGAGAACTACTGCCCTAGAAGATCCTAAGTGTGAGAACTGACTTCTAAATCTTCATTACAGTCCATTCCTGGTCTATCATCTAATTTTGTGTGAATAGAGAGTGAAGAGAATTCAGGAAAACATATGTGCCTGTTTGTATAGATAAATGGAAAAACAGATGGGATAAATGTCACAGCTCTCCAGTGGGAAGGTTCTGTGTGCCATACGTAGTGTTCATATAGTAGCTTGTCAGCTTTTTTGTAGTAGAGGCAACCCCAGATGCTCATCCAAGTCCCTCAGGAAACCAGTTTTCTCCAGAGCTCCTTACGATGTGCAAGGACCTTTCCTACTAGGGGATATGGTGTGCCCTGGGATGTACCATACCCATGAGTGTATAGAAGTCTTTTGCAGAAACACAGGCATAGAGACCTACAGTTCTACACTGTGTTAAACATACATTCCAGTAGTGGTTAATATGAAATGTGTTCTTATTTTTCAAAGTGTCATATTACGAGGTAAGATTGTGAAAGGCAAACGATAAAACCATATCAGCAATTGAACTAGTAACGCTTTCTAGTAGTCAAAACTGAATGCAAAAGATTTCAAACGTTTGACTCTTGTTGGTAGTCCCAAGTAGACTAGACCCACCAATTGTAAAATGGTAATGATGTGCGGACTCAGATGGTGCCCCACAGCATTACTCACATGATGGGCCCCACCTCTTGCAGCCTCCACACTTTGCCAGCCATCTACCACCCTGCTTCCAAGGACAGGTTAGGAGTCCCTGAACCCCATGCACAGGGCTTACATGGGCTGCTACACAACATGCCTGTTTTGGATTACTATCCTCCTATGCAGAACCCCCACCCTAGAGTATAGCCCAAGTAGGATTAGAATCTCTTTTCCTGCAAGTATGCAGCTGCAAATCCACTAGCTACATTCCAGGTATTTGCTTTGATTTGTAGTTGGTTGAATCCACGGATGTGAAGACAGAAGAACAATTGTTTATAATTTTACTATTTTGGATGTTCACATTTTGGGTATTTACTTTTAATTGGTTTTATGACAGGAGGTTCAACAAAATTATAAAATAGCAAAATCTCATAAACATTGATAAACAAATGCATATGCAAAGAACAAACATTTCTACACAAAAGTTACAAGGAATTGTTTTTGTGGGATTTGTTTCAGATGAAATCATGCATCAGGATATCGTTCCGCTGTGTGCTGAAGAGATTGAGGTCCAGCTGAGGAAAAAGTTTGCCTTCCTGTCAGGTGAGATATTGAATGTTCCTGCTAGATGTTTAAGAAGCATGTTGAAGGATTCACTTGCAATCTTTCTATATTATATTCTAAGATATGTGTTTTTCTAGCTTTATTTTCTACATGTTTTTCCATGTCTGGGAGACGTCAGCTCATAACATGAACATTGTACAGCAACCAGTAGCCAGTTACCATATTTATTCAAGTCTAATGCACCATTGAATCTAATACTCACTTCAATTTTAAAAACCCTGAAACCAAAAAAAGGATTTGCTGACTAATGTAATGTGCAGTGTCAAAAGGTGCACTTTTTGTAATATGCCCATTACAGTTGCTGCCTGCTTTGAATTCCTTCTTTAAAAACAATTGTGTTGAAACACCAAAGCTTTCAACAATGGAAAAGAAACCTTGGGGTTCATCTATGCTGTAGAATGAATCCACTTTAACTGCCTTGATACAATGCTATGGAATTATGGGAGATGTAGTTTCGCAAGGCCTTGAGCCTTCTCTGCCAAAAGAGGCAGTTGCCTCTCCAAACAACAAATCCCAGGATTACATAGTATTGAACTATGGCAATTAAATTACAGATGACATCCCTCAAATAGAAGCTCCAGATGATCTTGAAGCAGCTTTCCCTATTGTTTTGACTCAGCACTAAGATTGCGCAGTTGCGCAAATCTAATGCACACCCTAATATTGGCAAGGTCATTTCACCAAAAAAGGTGAGCATTAGATTTGAATAAATACAGTATGCCATTCCACCAATAGAAGTGATGTTTCACTTGCTGACATCTCATCCTATATTGTACTTGTGTAACACAGATACCACAAAAGCAAACACACTCTTATTTGGACAACTGTCACATTGTTTTCCTCCATTAACACTGCATTAATACAGGAAAATAGTAGATTAGGCAGAAATAGTAATTCTAACAAGTTGAGACCTTTAATATTTTTTATGGTTCTTTAGTATTCATAATGGCATCTGAATATGATTGCTGATATCAGAAAGATAGCACAAGAACAGTCTGGAGTATTCCCAAGTCACAAATGTGATATGCATTTTGGATCTTTGGTCTTGTAGCACACTCACTTTAGTCTTCTGTTACATAACTGAGAAGACAGTAATGGCTATCTTTTGGAAACAAGATAAACTTTAATTCATTTCACACTTCTTTAATTCTTACAGGTGTGTCAGAACTACATCCCTGCAAGATATAATTTTGTAGATGTGTTATTTTTAGTGATGACTTTCAAACGTTCTCCATTTCCCATTGTAACTTGCTGACTTTGTAGTGTCAAAATAAACTAAAGCTCATCTTACTACAATTTAAAAACACAGTTCTGATTTTAATTTCTGGATATCTTGCCCAAGTGTCAGGCTGTTTAAAACGTGGTCTTCAATTTTTCAGTTATCTCTCCTGGAAGTCATAAAATATCAAGAAAATAATTGTTTTGGTGGTTCATATGGTGCAGTGGTTCCCAACTTGTGGTCCATGAACCACCAGTGGTCCAAAAGAACTAAAATATGGTCCGCATCCTCACCATTTCTACACCGTTGCAACGAGAGCAACTGGCCTCACGAAACCCTTTTATAGTGTCGAGGCTTATTAAATATGGTTTTCTGTGGCCGAGCAGATGGCGACTACTGGATGCATATGTTCTGTATCAGAAACTAAAGCTGATGTGGTCTGTCCAATGCAATTTTCTGAATTGGCACCCCAAATAACGAAACTGAATCTAAAGTTGACCAAGAAACTGATTCATAACCCTTTTGGTACTAATGTTGGAGAATAGTCCCTGGTCAAAGTGGTCCCTGATCAAAGTGGACTCTGGTCAAAAAAAGGTTGGGAATCACTGATATAGTGCAATAAAATGTTTGGTGCTAGATGTTCTAACGGTCTGCTCTAACTGTTACTTCAAGATTTTAGGGGCAATGTGGACTTAAAGCTGCCTTTTTATTTGCTCATTTAATCTATCATTAGAGATGGAAAGGCCTGAAAAATCGAGGGAAAGTTTTTTTACAAAGCCATTTTTTTCTGGGAAAATTGAAAAGTGTATAGCAGTGGTTCTCAACCTGGGGTCCCCAGATGTTTTGGGCCTACAACTCCAAAAATCCCAGCCAGTTTACCAGCTGTTAGGATTTCTGGGAGTTGTGGACCAAAAACATCTGGGGACCCCAGGTTGAGAACCACTGGTGTATAGAATAAGTCATTTTCCAATGATAAATAATATATCTATGACATGGTGCTCAAGTTATATAACATGAAGACCTTAATGAAAGATTTCTGAGACTTTTTGTTTCTACGTACATACGTTTTTCTGGAAAAATGGCTTTGGGGGAAAAAAGGAGGAGAAACTGTTTCCCCCCCCCCCAGTATTTCTGTCCCGTCCCCCCCAGGTCTTCCAGTCTCTATCTGTCACAGCTGCCTATCTATCCTGAGTGTGGGCAATTGTTGCTCTCTGTGCAGATGTTTTGACTCTACATTCAGAATTGCAAGGATTATGAGAACTGCAGTACATATGTGGGCCACACTTACCTACACTTACCTACTCCCTGATTTACTTCATGAAATTAACTAATTTAAGAAATGTGACTTCTTTTCTTGTTTTTTCAAAAATTGGATCCAAGCAGTTTTTTTTATTTAAAAAGAAACCCCACAAGTTAGAGCATTCTGTTGTATTTTAAACTCTTTCACTCCCTGCTCTCCTTCAATGTTTGTTTATAAATACATTTGCCACATTTTATCACCATTTGTATTGTAAAGACAATTAAAAACTTTTGAGTGCTTGTATTTACTTGTCAAAAAAGTATGGCCATACAATCCCTGCAAGTACACAGATGCAGATACATGAAGAAGATAGAGGCAAATATGTGAAGTTTAGATCAGTGTACACAATATGTGTGGAGGCTTGTCCCTAAGGAAATTGTCACTGGAAATAAGTAAATTTTCCTATGATAATGCTATGATTAGTTTTATTTTCATCATCAAAAGGTGAATAGGTAACTTTGTTTTTTCTTGTTAGGTGGACGTGGAAGAGATGGTTGTCCTGTCATTACTTTTCCGGAATACTCAACATTTAGTGAAATTCCAGAAAACGATTTTCAGAATGTCCTGACATACCTCACCAACATCCCCAGGTAAGGCCCATACACAAGGAAATAATGCTGCTTACTAAATATTGTTACTGCTTACTTTGCTACATGACAAATGATAGGGTGTGTTCAGGATATTATGAACAAGTAAAGAATGGAGCATTGATGTAAGAAATCAGTGTCTCAACTGTACTTCAACTTTTCAGGGAAGACCTGTCAAAGGATGCAGAAAAATAGCCCTAGTGGAAAGCTACATTATTGTTGTGTGAATTCCCCCCAGTGTTGATGATTTTCTTGGTCCCGTCCCTGTTAGTGCCAAACACAAAACGGAGCAAGGTCTAGGTATGGTGCATTAGAAGTTAGTAATGTAACAAATTACCCCTCCTTCACTCTTTTGGTTATGTAAAAGAACTATCATAATTGAGTCAAAGTACCGTATTTTCCGGCGTACTAGACGACTTTTTAGACCTGGAAAATTTTCTGAAAAGTCAGGGGTCATCTAGTACACTGGACATAAAATTAAAATAATAATAATTAAAAGAAAAAATACAACTACCTTAGGAGGGAGGGAGGAGGAGGAGAAGGGATGACACGGGGAGGAGGAGGAGAAGGTCGTATTGCTGCTGGGACTGTGGCACCCGCCGCTTTCCCTGCTCTACTTTTATGGTCCTCCTCTGCTCCCAAAGCTCACCTCCTTCAAAGGCCACTGGGCTCTTCTAGGCCCAAGGAAGCACCTTCAGATGACTCCCAACAGCCCTGGTGGCGGCGTGCCTGGGATGTGCTCGCTGAGGCATTCTGGGAGCTGTAGTTTCCTGACTCCTACAGCTCTCAGAATGCCTCAGCGAGCACATCCCAGGCATGCTGCTGCCAGGGCTGCAGGGAGTCATCATCCAAAGGCGCTTCCTTGCGTCATCATCTGGAGGCACAAGGAAGCGCCTCCAGACAACGACTCCCTGCAGCCCCAGCAGCAGCGTGCCTGGGATGTTCCCTGACTCCTACAGCTCCCAGAATGCCTCAGCGAGCACATCCCAGGCATGCTGCTGCCAGGGCTGCAGGGAGTCATCATCCAAAGGCACTTCCCTGCGTCATCATCTGGAGGCACAAGGAAGCGCCTCCGGACAATGACTCCCTGCAGCCCCAGCAGCAGCGTGCCTGGGATGTTCCCTGACTCCTACGGCTCCCAGAATGCCTCAGCGAGCACATCCCAGGCATGCCGCTGTCCAGGGCTGCTGGAGTCGTCTTTTGGAGGTGCTTCCTTGGGCCTAAGGTGAGCCCAGTAGCCTTCGGAGGAGGTGAGCGGCGGGCGGAGGAGAGCCTTGAAAGTAGAGTGGGTAGAGCGGCGGGGGCTGCGGGGACAGGCCAGCAGGCCATCACAGCCAGCCAGTCTTCATGGAATATGGATTCGTCTTAAACAGTGAGTATATCTCTAACTTTGTATTTTGTGTTGAAAAGTTGGGGGTCATCTTATACCCTCAGTCGCCTTGTATGCTGGAAAATACAGTATTTTTTTTAAAGTTTTGTGAATATTATATCCATTTTTCTGTGCAGTATTGTCCAATGATAATATTGTTATGATGTATGCAAAGTGTAAATGCTTGTTTTTATTTTGAAATGAACAGTGCCAAAGAACAGGAAGGGATAAGATACTACTTTTGGAATACTTTCTGTTTTTTAAATGGCATGTCCATTTACGTGTATGTGGCCTCATAACTATCCTGGTATGAATTCTGTTTTTTGCGATTAGGCATTAAAATACAAAATATTGTGTCCATGGAAGAGCCTACAGAACGTTATGAGATCTCTAGAAAAATTCAGCACAAGGGAGTTTCAGTTATGCACTATTCCCAGACCAGCTAGAGTGAAGGCATTATTGGGAAACTTAAGACACGTTGAACCCAAATTTGGAAGTACTGCACCCTTTAAAAAAACTCAGCATCTCATAAAAAGATATGTAAAACATCTATTTCAAAGAATTACTTCTGTACTACTGTTGAATATAGCAGTCTGCCCTTGTACTGTGATTCATATGAACTCTATCCTATTCCTGACTTAGAAACATCATCAAGGGAGTTTAGGAAATACTTCTTCACAAAGGTCTTTGCTCTTAAAGACTCCTATGCAGTGTCTTTGTGAACACCTTGTTATAGTTATCTTTAAGATTGTCTTTTAGAAGAAGTGGAAACTGATCTTGCTGAAAATGATGTAGCAGCATTTACTTTTGGCATGCCAATGAGCCTAGTCCTTTGAATTGCGTAGAATATTTATTCTCATATAAATGCCTATATTTCTAAATCTTTATGGTATGGGAGTATGTTGGACTGTTTAATTGTGTGCTGACGCCTGATATGGTTTCTGCCCTCAGTAAACATTATTGTATAAATTAGTCATTTTAGAGACTTCCTGTATATAGCCCAGTTCCATTTCTGTGTGGAACCTGTTGCTTGTAACCTTTTCAAAAACCAGGAAATGAAAATCATTTTTAAAGAAAGATACTATGCAGAAAAACCTACTAAATACATATAAAACATCTTGATTACTGGAATAGGAATGGGAAATGTATGATCTTCTACCTGTTGAAAAAATTTCAGTCATGATCCCTCACTACTGTCCTGTCTAGCAAATCCAGCAGTGTGTGCCCAGACAGAGCTGAATTGTCTCAGCCCTGCATTGCAATAGAGTGGACCCTAGTTATTTGCTGGAGTTTGATTCTAGGGCCCCCAAAATCTATGGATGTTCATGTCCTGTCATCTTAAATTCATTGGCATTAAGATCCATGGGTTCATCAGGTGCTCTGCTATGGCTGACTTCTCTGGTTGAAGTAGTCTGCAGTGCCTTTCATGTTCCTTGATTTGTGTTTGGGCGCTGCGTTTGGTGGTCCCTATGTAGACTTGTCCAAGGCTGCATGGTACACAGTAGACTCCTGCAGAAGTGAGAGGATCCCTCTTGTCCTTTGCTGAATACCAATGACAAACGGATCAGCAGCAGCTACTTTCAGTGGGACAATGAATTCTACGAACAGAAAGATGGAGTAGCTATGGGGAGCCCTCTCAGCCCGGTCATAGCTAATTGGGGCAACCTGTATTTCTAATCATTTCTGTTTCTAATCTTATATTCTCAGTTTTTTCAGTAACTTGAATTCACTTTTTATAAGAACCACTAGAGGCTGCTAAAGGATGTTGAATGTCAACATTAAGAATGAGTTTATTTGACACACCTAGTCGTTTTTTAAAATTTGATGCAAATACAGCCATAGTTATTGTATGTCTTTTATTTGCAATTAGTGATGAGCAGCAACATGCCAGAAACTACAGGTGAAACCAAATCACAAAGTATCTGTTTATTTCTGAACAAGTGTAGCATTTTAAATAGCTTCTCTTTCCTCAAGGGTTCACCAATACATAAATCTAGTTTTAAAATGTTCATTAGGAATGGATACTAAAATATACAGTCGAATGGATAGCAAAATAAATTCATGTACTGTTGGATAATCTTCTTTATAAGGTTTGTAACTTACAAGAATGTATTAAAAATAATCACTACTTTGCTATTTTTTATCAGCTCTTGTGTCTCTGCTTGCATTTCTGTTTGATGGTCAGGTTACATGCTCCCTAAATATTGAGCATCAAATATTTCTCTACATGAGGTCAAAGATAGATAAATAGGTAGATGGATTAAGTCCCGATACATCTCTACTACAGTTAGTTTCATGAGTAATTTAAGGGTGTGGAATAATTATTTGCAGTACTGAAAAACATTATCACAATCTGGATCCCCCCTTAGCTTCCCCCATTACTGTCTCCATTTCAAAATCACCCTTAGGCTACAATCTTGTCCTCACTTAAATAGGAATAAAGCCTGTCAAACTCCCAAGTGGAAACTGTCAGAAACTATTTAAAAGACGAGAACATTCAAAACAACAAACAAACACGAAACAACAAAAAGCAGCATGGTATACAAGACCCATTCCTTCCTGAAAACTCAATTCTCAAAGATCTATCAGATCAAGAACTGCTTTATTGCCTGTGGAAAGACAGCAAGAAGAGCAGCAGTCTAACTTCTCTGGAAAAGGATTTCTAGAGCTTGGGAGAAGACACAGAGAAGATGTACCTTTGAAGTTGGTGGGACAGATAGAAGGGCCTCCCCATCAGATCTCATTACACTAGGCTAGTCCATTTGAAATAATATTGTAATTCAGATAACCTGTACCTGAGATTATAATGCTTTAATACAGTGGTTCTCAACCTGTGGGTCCCCAGATGTTTTGGCCTTCAACTCCCAGAAATTGTAATAGCTGGTAAACTGGTTGGAATTTCTGGGTGTTGTAGGCAAAACACCTGGGGACCCTACATTTTCAACTTTGTAAGCTTGGTAGAGAGTAGTCCAAAAACTAAAGAACCTGCAGAAAGGCCAGCTGAATTGGGAAAGAAGCACCTTCTGAATTTGAATAGCCCTCAAATATAGACAAATATAGCCTTGAGGTAGAGTATCTTGCAATAGTTTAGATGAGACATTACTAAAGAATAGATAACAGTGATCACAAGGTCAGACCAGACTCACAAAGACAAATTCACAAGATCAGATTGGGCAAATTGTGACCTCTGGGCCACATGTATCCTCAAGTCGTGTGTCGTGACTCGGATGCGAACTCAATGGTCTACTGAGCGATAAGAGGCTTTGTCCCTGTAGCACAGGACAGCTGGCTTCCATCCTGCATATTATTCTGCACTGCCCACTTTACCAGGAATTAGGATCTAGCTTACTATCACAAATTATAGAGTCTTTGAAAAACCGTACTGGCCCAGACAAAGTAATTTTGCTTTTAAACTTCCAAGATTTTAATCATTGCCTTTCAGTGCAAGGTTCCTGAATGAAGTCTGGAAGCTGAACAAGTAGCAAATGCGAAGGTCCCTTTTCTATAATGTACACTGTATTTTATACTGTCTTGTTATATATGCCAATAAAGGTCTATTGGATTGGACAAATCCTGTGGGTACCTTGAAGCGCTCCCCCACAGATTTTAATCCTCCAGCCCAATAAGAGTTCTC